CCCAGCCAGCATGGGAGTTGAAGTCCACCCATCTTAAAGTTGCTAAGGTTGAGGAACCCTGATCTAGCCCATCTTTTGCCACTTTATTAATGGGAATATATATGATATTTTTTCAAATGCTTTGCTGAGATCCACTATATCCATAGCATTTCGTTAAGATAGTAACTCTTTCAAAAGAGAAGATAAGGTTAATCTGCCATGGCTTGTTGGTGACAAACCCATGCTGGCTTTTATAAATAGCCTTCCTACCCAAGCGTTCACAAATATGCTGTTTAATAATCTGCTTGAGGACCTTGCCCAGGACAGACATCAAACTGACAGGCCTGTAATTTCCTGAGCCCTCCTCCTTCCTTTTTCTGCAGACAGGGGCAGCATTTGTTCTCTTCCAGTCTTCTGGGATCTCACCAGTTCTCCAGAAGTTCTCAGAGATTAGTTAGTGGTTTTGCAATCATCTTGACTAGTTTCTTTGGTACCCTAGGATATAATTCATCTGGCCCTGGAGACTTGAATTAGTTTAAATTAGCTAAGTGTTCTTTTACGCTCTTTTGCCCACTACTTTTGTAAATAGCACAAAAATAAATACAGATAATACAGTGCCCTCCAATTAAAGCATATATTTTTATGTGAGCAGATAATTATACTTGATTTTTTAAAATGTCATTATTTACTGAATCAGACAGTGATTAAGGCTGATGCTGAGCAAACCTCATTCCCAGCTGAATCTGTACTTTAAAGTGTATTGTACATGTTTATGATTAGCTCATGGGAGTTCTGTCAGTTTGATAGGGGGATTTCTGGGTCAAATTCAAGGTGCTGATTATCACTTTTAAAGCCCTACATGGCACAGGACCAGGATATTTGTGGAACTGTATTTCCCTGAGGGTATCTGCCCATTCCACCAGATCAGATAGGGTAGGGATGCTCCAAGTTTCTTCTCTGAAATGTTGCCATCTTGTAGGATCTAGGAAGTGTATATTTTTTGTTGTAGCCCCTGCCTCATGAAGCACCCTTCCCCTTTTGATCTGGCAGGCCTCTACCCTTGTAACTTTCTGGAAAGCACTTAAGAGCTGGCTTTTCCCCCAAGCATTGGGATAGGGTGAGGTTGGAGATGGAGGCAAGTGTTGTAGGCTGCATTGGGGGCCCAGTTTTTCTGTTTTATTGTTTTCTGTTTTTATTGTTTATACATATTGTTTTATCCTTTAGTTGTGAGCCACCCGGACTTTGATTTTAAGATGGGCGGCCATATAAATGCTTTAACTAAATAAAATAAATAAATGGGCAAAATAGAAGTTGCAGAGATCCTTAACTTTCCCCTGCTCATAACCTGATTTTGTCGCCTCCCCTACCAGCGCTTAACATACATTTCCTTTGCATGAGGAGAAATATAGGCGTGGATGAGAGGATACAGAAGTAATTGTAATAAGCCATTACTGGCTTCTGAACCACTCTATATCTCTTCTTTGCACACAGATAACAAACAGATTTCCCACTGCATCTTTAGTTCCATCCTAAGACATTGCATTATATCGCGTGGAATAAGCTGGAGGAAGTAGATTTGTTCTTTTATCTTTTGTTCAAGCCAAGGATAGCTTCTTCTTGACTTAAACCCTTCCTATTGTTGATATACTTCCCCAGTGACATTCCTTAGGAATCAGCCTTCTTTTTAAAACCTTTAGTTCTAGGAATGTCAAAAATCCAGGCGCCTACCCAAAAGGAAATGTTGGATGGACAGCAAAAAATTTGATGCTTAACTTTTCATTCTTTTATAGTGGTGCTGCATGGGGTGAGTGTCTGATGGATGCTTCCTTTTGGCTCTTCTGAACAGAGAGTTCCTTCCCTCTCAGCCTGGAGGATCCTGCAACATTTTAATAAATAACAAAAGTATTTGGGGGGAAAGCAGCAACTGAATAGGGTGGGAGAACTCATTAATTCCTGACTCCTATTCAGTGGCATGGTGCACATTTAGAAAAACAAGCCAGCAAGAGAGAAAGAAGCAGCTTTTTACTACTTCAGATATAACAGAACAAAATATGTACACTGATATATTGAAGGTTAATTACAACATCTGCAGATCAAGCTACAGGTGTTGATAGCAGATCTATTACATTAAGCATGGGTCTGCCTCGGCCACTTGTATTTTTTTGTATATT